TTACTTTGAAGAAGTAACTTGAATTAAGTTATGAAACGTCAGAAGTACAATTTTCTACTCATTGAGATATTACAAACCTATTGTTATTATTAATGGCTTTATTCAATATTCTACGTTTAATACAATTCTAAAGTTACAATTCAACAAGTTTCCTTTCCAAAAAAACGACACCTGAATACAGACATAAACTAGGTTAATAAACTAAATGGAACTAAATGAAATATCTTTTAATGAGATTAGAATCTGTATAACTTTTACTTAGAATCATGTTTAGGAATACACGTTATTGACTAAGTCAACTCTTACAACCTGTTCGTCATAATTTATTTGCTAAGTAAGGTATTGTAGAGCTTTAATATATTCGCTTGCGTGCATGGATTCTAAGGGATGTATTTCATAATCCAGTAATCATTTCAGTTACCAAAGGAATGATATTTTGAATGTCTTGATTAAAATATGTTCAATCAAAACATATTTTATTAAAGGTTTAGAAAGTTAAATTTGAATATACCAATTTAAAGGTACAAGTTTTTTCGGTAAATTAACGGCAGTCAAAGAGCCGCTAAATAATGAAAAAGTAAGGAGTAGCCTAACTTTTTATTATATAGTATCTAAGCCTATGACTTGTGAGAATTACACTTGCAGACCTCTGATTTCAAGGTGAGCACGAAAACCGCAAACATCTCTAAACTCAAACACAATAACTTAGCTTTGTTAACAAACAAATTGTCATCATTACAAAACATTTAGAGTCCGATGAGTACTGCTGTACTTAACTAAACCTGAATTCGCACCTAAATTTATGAATATTAGGGTAGCTATATTAGTGTTCGCTATTTGTTTTATTTATTCTCATAAAAGAGGACAAAATGAATAGACACTAAGGTATAGTCTGATGGCTGAAACATACAACATCCAACCAGGTCACAAGTTCTGTCTATTTTGGCTTGGTCAGTTTGAAGTAGAGTATGCCAAACTGTAGGTGGCTTATAAGTACCATAAATACCATTTAGTCATTAATTAAACATATACTTTAATAAAAATATTATTAAAAGATCTCAGGAAAGATAATTTATCCAAATTCTTGGTAGGTGTTGTCCGTACCACTAAATATAACTTTTGAATAATAAATTATTTTTATTATAGAAAGAAATCGAGACCACTGAAGATTCTATGATATTTTGAATAAATTACAAATATAGAAATAAACAAAGCAGAGCATTAATAGCGCTTAATTTATGTAGGCATACAAACTGCAAACGTCGTTCTTTTAATTTTGACAGATTATTTGAAATAAACAGTCACTATTAATTCATAGTTTTTATTCTTCACTCATTGTTTAAACTGTATTTTCTATATTTAAATTTCTGTGGTTAACTTTATTGTACCTCTTCTACTTCACATATTGTTGATTTCCTGTTTTGTACTAATATGCAATGTAGAAAATTGGATCCCATGTTAACTATTAATTACCAGTTTTGAAGAATCAAAACTTATTAATGTCACATAATCTTTTTTTTGAAAATACCACCACTAAACATCATTAGAATTTCAACTAGTCTATCCTATATTTTCCGCATTATTTATAATACTGCATAAACTATAACTATTGACAGGTTTTATTTCATATACTCAATGCATTACGTTAACAGGAGATTCACTGCCTTACCGTTATATTGGAATGACATATAAGGAATGCTCCATATAAAATCTAACAAGTCCTCTATATTTATATACTTCGCCTTAAGGAATATCCAGGCTATTCATCAAAATTATTTTAATGTGTGAAACTTTTAAATTCATAACATACTTTTGATTGTAAATGAATTTAATTTATGCACAACATAATATGTCCATCTCGGTCCAATCTGTATTCAGCCAACTGTTTTTACTAAACTCATTCGATGGCTCAAAAATCCTCAACGTTCTTGTTAGGGTAAAACGAAACAGACAAATTATGTTTTCTCACACAGCTAAAAACAAGTTAACAAATTTCACAATGTTCAACTAATTTCGATAATGTAATAAGAAGACGAAGATTATCAGAATTATGTGATATATTAGCGCAATACATTTTGAACAATCCGTGTTTACCAATTTAAACGTGTATTTGGTTACACATACATAGGAAGGAGCAATCGTGATCTCAAAATTAGTGTCCACATGTACCCAAATGGTTGCAGAAACAAATACAATCAAGTGACCCAATAAGAGCAGAGGATAAACATCCATCATCCATCATAATTGAAACAGGCCATAATATTGGTCTAAACTCGGTTTTTGTGGTTTTGTATAAAAGAGTAAAAGGGCGTATACTAAGGTTTATTGAGGCCTTAGCCAAACCCCATTTGTGTGTTCAAAAAATAGTTTGTTCTTACCTTAAACCTACCCTGGTAATATTGACTTATTATCCAGAATGATTAGGTTTCGAATTGTGTTGACATTATTATTTCTCTTATTATTATCCTTATCTCCTCTTACCCCATTTCCAGTCTAGTTGACCTTTTATATTTTATATATAAATGCTCTTAACAAGTATATGTGTGATCAGATTGTTCGAAATGTATTGCGCTAATATATCACATAATTCTGATAATCTTCGTCTTCTTATTACATTATCAAAATTTATCAAAGGGACTGATCGCTTTAAAGTTCAACTAATTATAATCAATCAGCGTAATCTATTCAGACTGTCATTGCAGGAAATTGCTGTCAACAGGGGATGGACGTATAAGACGAAAACATACCTTTCATGTTGTATGCCTAAAGCATCATAAATATTCTATAACTACGCAAACAAGTTATGAGCAAACTATGGTTATTAAATGATTTAAAACGCCTACTAGTTTCTACCTAAGTAGATAAACGATATAATACTCTACATAGTGTTAGGATTAAAAATGACTATTCGTACCTGAAATCAATTACTGACTCATATAAAAGACTGAGGGATAAAACATCTACTAATCTGTCTCACCCAGTCAAGTCCTCCGATAGAATTGTCTTAAGTAAGAGACGCCTGCAAACTTGATGCTTTTCTGATTATAGCAGTATCCATCAAATATTAGATAACCTAGATAACTATGTTGTGTTTGAGGAAGATTTTTAAAAATAACTACCAATCAAACAAACAAATTTAGTATAGGGGTTGTGAAGATTATTAAGTTTTTGATTGGGATCATGAACCGATTGATGTTAGACCACCTTTGGAAACCTGGAAGGTGGTCTAACATCAATCGGTTCATGATCCCAATCAAAAACTTAATAATCACCACAACCCCTATACTAGGAATCAACATGTGCGCACTAGCGACTAGCTTCGTGAGGGAATTCTCGGAGTTCTAGTGAGAAGCCGTGATCAGTGGAGCTAATCCATGTCGAGTAGAGACAGGTATCTACCTCAGTACAATGGAAGTTGGTCGCGCAATTTCGTGGATCGGTTGATGTTATACACTATCACCACTGGATGCCGGTTCAGTGGTCCAGTAGGTTAAGCGTTCGCACGCGAAACCGAAGGCTCTGGGTTCGAATCCCGCGAGCGGGATCATGGGTGCGCACTGCTGAGGAGTCCCACAATAGGACGAGACGGCCGTCCAGTGCTTCCAGGTTTCCAAAGGTGGTCTAACATCAATCGGTTCAGGATCTCAATCAAAAAATTTAGTATACGTGATCTTATACTAATGAGGAGATATAAGCAAAACTGTAGTTTATGAACGAACAAATCATGTATAAGATAATAGGTCTTGGATTTCGGTGCGAAATTCACTCATTCATTTGACTAAATAGAGTTTTGACATTAAAACTGATGTCAGTTCGTGATGAAAATCCTAAATCTAATTCCTAACCTCAACCATCAACTGCCAATCCTAATCCTCACACTGGTTTGTAACCTTCATTTGGTCCGTTACTAGGTGGACACTCAAGGTCATTTTGGCGTCGCGCAAAGGTCTTCCATAATTTACAGTCTCACCGAGATATGCACGCTTTTACCGCTAACACATGCCTCATCAAGTTATTAGTTGGGAAATATCATTTGCAAAAACGTTGAGTAAGAGAAGCGAAGTTTGGTGTTATCCCTAAAAAAACTTTGGTAAATCTTGAATTATTTCAAAGATTCAGTAACCCTACTAATTGCCTTCCATTAGTGTCATAGCAACTTGAAGTCTACGTTTAGCTACCAAGGTAAAAGCTAGAACGCTAATTTCCATGTTTTGGTTTCAGTGCCCCTGTTGTTTTGCCAGATTTTACACAATCTATACATTTCAAGAACATGTCCATAATTCTGTATTGTTTAATAAAATGAAATGGTTTTGGTAAACAAGCTTATTGTATTCATAGCAGGCCATTCCATGATAAATTCATATTTGCTCAAACTTGGAGACATTAAAACTAAACTATTTGAAAATAACGACGTTTAAATGGGGATTATCAAAAACACTGGATAACACTATTGCAATAAGGAAAAACAGCTTATCACAATGATCTACTTTTTATATGAGTCAAAAGCTGTATAATTATAGGACTGATAATGTCGCAAAATCTGGATAGACAAAAATGACCCGAGGTTCCAGTACGTCTTCTCTACATACAATGAGATGTCCATAGAACACCCATTAAATAAAGAAATGGACAATGCTTCATTAGAAAGCAGTGGAAAATGAATGAAATGCAATGAAGGCACAACTTTTTGAAAATTATGAAACATAAAAGAATTGGAACTGATTATATCAAAAAACTGCTGACCATTCAATACCAAACTTTATCGTTTTGATGCATTAGAAGGGGATAATGCTAATAAATTTCCTGATACTTAGGCGACTGTCCCAGATAAAACAGAAATATATGCCTGCTTTGTAACTTGATTAGTTTGGAATATTCCAAGTTCGACAAACTCTGAGAGATCTAACTAAATAAGTACTTTTTAACAAAATCTACAAATAACTTTTTATCAAATAAAATCCAGTTAGTCAAACCTATTTTTAAAGAGAGAAAAATCTTACGTGGGTTACATAAAAGTTAATCCTAAATCCTTCTTTGCTTGTGATCCGGGCTAACCCAATACCTTTGCCACAATAGTAATCAGCTTGGTGAATAAGATGAGGATATCCGTTAGCAGTAAAGGGATGTGTGAACACACATTCTATAGTCCATTTTGAAAATATGCACATACCAGTTCCTATAAGGTTGCTAGGAAACAATTAAGTGACCCCATCGAATAAATACCAATAAAAGTAATTAGAGTATGGATACTTCTCGTCCAGAATGTTTCGGAGCTTTCTGTAATCTGATTCCAGCCAAATCTGCCAAAAGCTAGTTCAACGAGTACACCTACCTACCTCCTGAAGTAAAATCACGTCGAAATCCCCAACTGATAACTTCGCGGCAATCGCATTAACACGGTCTTCTTTTCTCACAGTCGGAGACGGGAAAAACACGGCCCTAAATATTCAACTACAGAAATCTTCACAAACCAGCAATTAAATGTTAAAACCTTGAACTTTTCTTCGACCATGTTGTAAATTATGATATCAGGGGGTGCCAGTGAAGCTTTACGGCTCGGAGATAAATCTCGACGTTTGGTCTGCAGAAAATGTATAAGAAAAATGTACTGCCTAAATAAAGAGGATTCTACTATACAATATCGTATTGTTGCATTTAAAAGATATAACAAGACAGCGTACAATACCCATGCAAAAAATAAGATGAATCGGCTTTTAAACTTTTCAAAACAATGATTATCTAAATGCTCATATGATAGAGCCACCCTGCTATGTAAGAAATCACTTACAAAGCAGCGAAAACTATTCGAAGATCGCTCCGTTACTGAAGTGTTGCCTTATCAATCATATAAAGTTTGACAATACGAACATAACCAATATGACAGCTTTTAGAACCTTTTAAATCACTAGTACGTAGAATTGCCTCAGGTTTATGATGATCTGTTGCAAATTTCATTGGTCTTCATGGAGCATCATAAGTCTTCATTTCAGTGTAGTGAGTCCAGTCACTTGATTCCCAGTGACGATCTTCGTGATTATGAAGGTCTTTGGACCGACGAATGTCGCTTAAAAAGTTCTATTGACTCGTTAAACGCTGGAAAAGCAGAAAAATATGTATTGATGTACAATTTTACTAACTTCGGTTTTTTTAGATCACGAAGACCACTGAGCACCTAAGCTCTTGTTGTTTTCCCGTGAAAGTGCTGGATTTAGAGTGGCTTACTGCCGTTTTTCAAGTGGTTTGCTCAATAATAAATCAGACACTAAATGTAACGATTACAATTGGAGTAGTCGCAGCGGCTGCATTCGAAATAACTTCAGTGTTTTACCCGGTAATATGGTCAAAGCTACTCTCCGGGAAATAATCAATACTGAAATTTCCGAACAACGTGTAAATGTTGATGATGAAATCACCCGGAAACCTTATGCAGCAATTTGTAATTTTTAAATAGCAGTGTCACGAGAGGTAATACACTGGATATGATTCAAGAAAGAAGTAACAAGAAAGCAGTGATCAATACCAGCCGAGCAAGAGCAGAAAAAGCCAAGGCACAAGCCGAATACACAGAAGTAAACAGGCAAGGGAAGAGGAGCATCAGAACCGACAAACGTAAATATGTGGAAGGTTTAGCAATGACGGCGAAAAAAGGTGCAAGAGAACGAAACATGAGTCAACTACATGACACGACAAAGAAACTCTCTGGAAATCACCGTAAACCAAGACGACCAGTGAAAAGCAAGGAAAGCAAGGTGATCAACATTGGAGAGCAACAAAACAGGTGGGTAGAACACTTCAAAGAACTCTTGAATCGACCAGCTCCACTGAACCCACCCAACATCGAAGCAGCACCCACGGACCTCCCAATCAATGTTGGCTCACCAACAATTGAAGAAATCAGCATAGCCATCAGAGATGGTGGAGAAGATTTGTAGCTCAGGTGGATGATTTTGGTGGAGTTTGTTCAAATAGAAGTTTGAAGTTTGTGCTGATGACGTCGTTCAGAAGGACGATGAAAGATCCACGACCAATCCATCCAGCTCAGAGAACAAAATTCCACCAAAATGGCCATCAGACAAATCAAGAGTGGCAAAGCAGCGGGACCAGACAACATTCTAGCAGAGACACTGAAAGCAGACGTAGCGGCAACTGCAAGGATACTCCACATTCTCTTCAATAAGATTTGGGATGAGGAACAAGTTCCAACAGACTGGAAGAAAGGACTCTGTAGACGCCCAACTTCGAGACCGAAAGGCAGGATTCCGTAAGGATAGATCGTGTACAGACCAAATCGCAACTTTACGGATCATTGTGGAACAATCAATTGAATGGAATTCATCACTCTACATCAACTTTATTTTCCACCTTAGCAACCTGCTCAGCAGCCACTTTTTTGTAAATTACAGAATGACTAAGACCTGTTATGTTATGTATCATGTCGGCAAACCTCAAAGACCAAGTCGCATCTGAATAAATCAGCTCTTAAGCAGCGTAAGTTCTTGCTCCAGTCCCTACATCTTTCATGTTTCCATTGATACTTATCCATCTTATGTGCCTGTAGGAAGAAGTTTATCCACTTTCTTCATTACACCTATTATGTTCAGCTATTGACACTTATGTGTTAGCCGCAAAGTTTTTATACTAGCACAACAAGCATCCAAAAAACAGAGAGCTTGTTGATATATGGTCTGGGCTGGTTTTATTTACATTTAGTCTTTGCCTCTAAAATAATAGACCTGATCCCAAAATCACAGATTTGTTGTGATTTGATTACCTAATCTGTAAGATCTAACATGGGAGTCACATAATTGCCCATACTGACTTATCCTACGTGATAAGCAGCAGTATAACGGTTAACACTTTTGAAGGGATGGAATGGTATGTTTGGTATGAAAAGAGATAAGTTCCATAGAGTGACTGCGTCTCCATCACCTAGCCATGCCATACTACCTAAATGTTTCACGCTCACCGCTTCTGACCTCCAAGTGTTAAGTGTTGAACGAGTGTGCTGCTTCAAGGATCGTGTGATTCAAGAACCAAAATCTCTATAAAATCCATCAGATCAAATTTATTTTGTCTGTTGTTGTATTCCACAGCTTCAATTTAAAAAGTGACTAGTCCCGAATTTCAATCGTATCTAGCTCAACATCTGCTTCATTATCATCAGTCAGTTAACCAGACAAACCGGAAGTACCTATTGAATGATCACTCAGTCAGCTAACAGACAAATGTCGATATTTCTTCACAAACAGAACCATAAAATAAGTAATACTCGCTCGTAGCAAAAATTTCTGAAGTTAAACTCCAACCAATTTTCAATTAGTATGAGATCAAATAAGAAACTCAAAACCAGATAGTGAGCTGGAAGATGTTAGAAACCAACCCCATAATTTCAGCTGGAGTTAAACGGAAATTGGAAACTGACAGAAGCCCAGTGACAAATAGAAACTGTTATGATTGGCAGACTTACTGTCAAATAATAAGAATTTAAGCCCGCTAATTCAACCACGCACTGACTGAGGAGATATGACAAACAATCACTTGGCGTATAGATTTATCAATATCACTTGAAAGCTCCAACCCGTTGCACTTGCTAGAAGTGTTTGAGAGTCACAAAAATCAGTTGCAACAACAAAAACATTGGTAATTCCGTTTACCATTCTTTCTGATATTCCATTCCAGCTATGGTGCATGCGGACTTCGAACAACTGAATAACACTGACTAAAGAATGAAATTCTAGTTTGTATGAACAAAACCCCTAGTTTCCATGCTATCATGCAGTCGATACTGTTTTTTGCAGGCAATAAGCCTATTGTTGATGAGTTTGTGAGCACTAAACCTTAGCCAGGATGACAGCCTAAAGGTTTGGCGTATGGCGGATGAAGACATAACGCATGACTGACCACACAAGAATATTCTCAAGAAGATTCGGTTATCTATCCTGGTCAACAGAGTTGTCCTTGTAGAATTACGGCACAAGTTCGTTGTTATTATTTTTCTAATAATAGACTTAATCATAATATTGTAGATTTGTCATGATGTGACTAATTATCCTATAAGATCTTACGTGGAAGTCACATCATAGTCTACACTGACTCGTCGTACCATGACAAATAGCGAATATGATGCTTCTGAAGAACACATTTGGGCTGAACATAAAGTAATATATTCAAGGTGAATAAAGACATGTTAAACAGAATGAGCACGTCTGCCAGGATGAGCCATGCCATTTGATTGAATTAATTAATTATTCCCGCCTTCTCCAAGTTTGGTCTTCTCTCTGTGTCAAATGCTGAATATATATTTTCCCAGTTATCTCGCGTTCAGCTTTGGAGATTGTGAGGTTAGATCCCAATGCCACTACATGCTCACTCAACCAGAGTATCCTTCCAAAATCTGAAAGAATGGGATCGCAATAACTCCTGCAAAGATTTTTACGTGAGTCCATTCGTAAGGCAAGTCATCTGTGAAAACAAATCTGTGAAGAACTCATTATTTTGTTAAGTGAATACAACATTAAGAAGTTTTGAACTTTTGGTTTGATAAAAATGCAACCTACCCCATAGCCTTGTTTTTTCAGGTCACCGGAGGTACTATTCCAGTCAAACGGAAACCCAATATCACTTCCCTAATGTCAGTATCGGTTTTTGATTTCTATCTAGAGCAAAAAATAAAACAAGTTGGCATATATCACACCCCTGGAGAGCATTGTCATGTAAATATAGTATAACATACAAAATCGTTTGCTCATCCAGTTGCTTACAGGACCATATTTAACTACTGTTTTAAGGGTTTTACTTCATGGTTTGAAATTTATGCATTTCCTGCCAGTGATTGAGCTCTCAAAACTGTAACACGATGTAATTGTCCGGGTATAATTTGTATTAAATTTGACTAGTAACACCATAAATTGTACGTTCATTGATCGGAGGTCAATACTGTGTAAACAAAAGTTGTAAGAGGATATGAAGCAATATTTTGTCCGTTTAACCGCGTGAAACCCATATCGTAAGCGCAATAACTTTCAAGTGAAGGTATTTGAATGTCTTGATCCAGGTATACTTAGTATAGCAGCAACCTGTATCGCTGGATAAACCATGATGAGATCAAACAGAATAAATTTAATGTGAGTAACCACTCAGCCTAATGACTGTAAGTGGTCGGATGTATTGGTTTCCCTTTTTGCTTATCTCAGTCTACGGAGCTTGATCGAAAAATGAACCCGCCGATGGCAATATTGGGCACACACCACCATACTGAATCTCTTTGACCTTGTACGACTATATCTTGTTCATTCATCAATTATAATCCTTCGGGTTTGTCATAAACTCTGTAACACTTTTATTCACTGTTTATCATCTAGTAACTGTTAGGTGTGTTATTTACGTTGCCGTTTTTCCCTGTTCGAGATTGTCTTAGCTGTTTTTATTTACTGAGTCAAATTATGCTTTAAAAACAAGTATGGTTTATCGATTCAGTTGTCGTGGTCCACAACGATGCATCTATATACACGTGATATGGTCTTTAAATCAATTGCAGATTATATTTCGTTGCAACCTGTCTCATTACACTCATAATGTATTTACTTACATCAAAAATGGATATTATTTCCGATTTCGTCGTCTCTGCGTAAAATGTGTTGATTGGATATTTTAGGAAAGCTATCAGGTGAGATCTAAGTGATACAAATCACAAAATGTATGCAACATTGAGTGAAACGGTTATTCATAAAGTCAGCAACCCAAATTTCACGAAATAAGGACCTCCATGCATAAAAACATCATCGCATGAGAGTTAATGATTGTTGTTTGAATTTCTGGATGAATTAGAATGTGGGTCTATTTTCGCCACTTTAACAGGCATTGAGACTCAGTCTGCTGATATGAGAAAACAAGGTTCGTTTATGTGTAGGCTTTTTATTGTTCACCCGTTCCATAGATGTTCGGCTGTAAAAATGATGTCATTATAAACTAGTGAGTCATCATACCATTTTATCTGGATAATTTTACTAAGATCGCTGACGCGTAAGCACCACTTCTGACCTATGTGTACTGAATTTTAAGCGTCTTCTGTTTCGAAATTCTTTTATATGATTGGGACAATAATAAAAATATATGATTTCTTATTGAATTTGATATTCATGTCAAAAATGTACCACTGCAACATTGTAAAATATCACTCAACTTCTTTTACACTTTAGATGAACTGGTGTTCTGTCCAGTGGCTAAACAGGAATATATGAAAGGTATAAATTGTCATTACCTTAATAAACAAATATTTTCAAAAACGGTTTTGATATCTTGGTTTTTGTACTTTGTATGAACGTCTTGTATTCTAAATCAAAAACCAGAGCGGACTCAAATACAAAATGACCATTAGTTCATACTAACATCACACGGTCTCTAACCACATCGGCTCACTCTCACTAACACCTCATACCAACTGGTCACAGGGGTTCATTTAGTTAATTTTTTGTTGTTGTTGCAAGATGTCTGAAGAATTCCCATAGTGTGACTTATTTTCAAGAGATAAAGACTTACCTACACTTTTTAAATGGACTATCTTTAGATTCTGAAGGTTAACCTACCGGTTCAAAGTGGTTCGTGATGATCGGGAGGTTGTGTGTGTTTTCTCGGCTAGCTTGTCGGAGAGCTGTTTATATATTCCGAGAGTTTTGTGCTGAGGCAGAACGTAACTGGTTTTTAATGCTTTTACTGTTTTTCTAGTCTTGGTAGAAGATGGGAATAAATCAAGAAGTTGTAAACCCATACGCCCTTTATATTTTGATTTTCAAGCGTCTACACAACTGGTAAATTTTATGTTGCGATTCACTGGTGAATAAAGGATCCTCGCGTCTTAGATGCTATGTTGCCGTTTTATATTAGTCATTTTGGTAACCCTCATTCACGCACACATGAGTATGGTTGGTATTGTGAAGAAGCCGTTGAGAAAGCTAGAGAGGTACTTTCTATTTCTAACTTCTTAAAATCTTTCAGAACGTAGCCAATCAGATAGGTGCTGACCATAAGGAGATCATTTTCACCAGTGGTGCGACAGAAAGTAACAACCTAGCTGTAAAAGGTGTTGCCAAGTTTTACCACCCAAAGAAGAAGCATATTATAACTACACAAATCGTAATGAACTAGAGAGTAATTTTATTTGTATTTTAGGAGCATAAATGTGTCTTGGATTCCTGTAGAGTTTTGGAAAACAACGGGTTTGATGTTACGTATTTACCTGTTCAGAAAAACGGAATTCTAGATTTGGAGGTAATAACGTTCTGTTTTATGATCTATTATAGGTTCTGGAACGGTCTATTAAGCCCGAAACGAGTTTAGTCTCTGTCATAGCTGTTAATAATGAGATAGGTGTCCTTCAGCCCATCGAAGAAATCGGAAGACTATGTCGAAGTAAAGGGGTTTTCTTCCATACTGATGCTGCACAAGCTTTCGGAAAAGTACCAATTGACGTCAATGCTATGAATGTAGGTTTCTATCTCACCACTACTGCTTCTTTTGAGACACAGATGCGAAATGTTTTAGTTTCCTTTTTAATTTGACGATTCTGACTACACCCAATCAAAAATCATGAAGGTTCATTCTGACATAAGCTGGTATTCATGACTAAAGTAGTTTCTGCTAGCTATCGTTTTCGTTTTTAATTACTTAATAGATGATTTTTAAAAGTCGGTTTCCCACTTTTCTGGACTTAGGATTGAAGAATTGCAGTTCCTGTTGGTACTCCCTAGCCTGACGGTACTTTCTGTATCCGTGGAGCATGTAGTCATTTGAAAAGTAGTGAGTTTTATGTTCCCTCGAAGTGTCCAGATTGCGAGGTTGGGCCATTGAAGAGTTTTTTTTTATGGTCAGTAAGTTTATGTTTGAATTAATAAGCTATATTATCCCTAGACATGCTTCAGGTTGTCTGGTAGTTTTCTAGTTAGTCCGACAAGAACTTTTCGTAATGAAGTATTAATTTAGATACATTGTCGTTCTTAGAAGAAAGGCATACTCACTAATATGAATACACGGTGATTTGGTGTATCAATTCAATTCGTCGTGGCGAATTCATCAGCCAGTTTGTAGGCTGTATTGAAATATTTATGCGGATGTCTGTAATTACTCACAAAATGTCTGCACAGTGTCACTCCTTAAATTTCCCCTTTGATGACAATAATATGAGTTTTGGTAATCACTAATGTGTTACTACATGGCAACCTACGTTTTACAGTTATAAATTTATCTATTGACATTCATGTAATTCACAGTAGTCTGAATTGAGACAGTGTTTCTTTACAGAATGCAATTACATTTCATCGTAAACTAGTTTCTTACAAAAGATCAAGCTATACTTGGTTGGTTTTTCAAAATATTCCCCAGATATTTTATACTGCCTCTCGTTAACTACTTGTCTCGTTTTAAGCTTAATAATATGATTAGTCATCCATACATAATGACCCTGGTTTTAAGATTGAAGGAAACTCCATCAGTATGTGTGTTATCCCAAACTCCTTATATTTGTTTAGTAGCTGGATCTGTAATATCATTGATTACAATCACTTTTGTTGCTATTTAGCACACTGGAAATTTTAACAACTAGCTTATACAATTAGACGTCCTGTAGTCTACTTTAAAGTAGATTTGATTACATCTTTCACACTAAGTGTTTACCATCCCGATAGGCCAGTTATTTAGCTACCTTGTACAAAGATCAAACCATTTTCCTATCCTCACAATAAAAATTGCTAAGAGGCATTTTTGTAAAATTACTTCCGATCTATTTATTGTCAACACCTTGTTACTATTACTGACTTAACCCCCACAACACCCGCGTCTATTGATAGAAATTATCAATTATAAAGTCATCTATAAACTATATGTGTTGAAAAACTAAGATGGTTTAGTATTTAATAGATGTGATTTTCAAAAATTGACTGTCCACCAAGTGGTATTATGACCTGTCTAACTTAGAATATTTTATAAGCATTGGTGCCACAGTCCAAACGATTATTTAAGTGTCGTACTTGGATTTTTCATATTATCAATATCGTCACTTAGTCAATATATGAAGTTCACTCTAGCTATAAATTATGAAGTTAACTACCAAATCCCAGGATTTTCCCAACTCATTGAATTTAACGAGGTTTCTTCTGACATGCTTGCACTGTATGTATTAATATTCAGTAATCACTTAATTTTGTGAGCGTAAATATCACTGTGTAATGGTTTGTTACTTTTCATAAGCATTACATTGTTGTGATGTGATAAACTTAAGGATATATTTTTGTGGAACTCCTTTCAGATTGATCTCATGTCCATTAGTGGTCACAAGATATATGGTCCTCAGGGGATTGGTGCTCTCTACGTACGTCGTCGACCCAGGGTTCGATTAGAAGCTCAGCAAAATGGAGGTGGACAGGAACGTGGGTTAAGATCTGGTACTCTTCCTACGGCCTTAGTTGTTGGCTTAGGTGAAGCAAGCCGTTTGGCCAGCGAGGAAATGAAAGTAAGTTTTCAGAAAGAATACTATTTACTTCTTGTCATCTAAAAACATGAATAACTTATCATTAGTGTTATTCATTTTGTTTCTTTTATTAGGCTGAGATCTTGCTTTTCAATATCAGTTTTTCCAATATCTTTTAAAGGTTTCTGTCACTCAGTTAATTTATCATGATTAACGTAAGTCACCCTAGTATTGGTGATGCAATTTCATGTAATTCTACCCAACACTAACACTGGGATACTTTTGTAAATGACTTTCGAAGTATTAATGAGATTTTCAGACACCCCTCTTTAAGGTAGTTCCCAACCACGGCCGTGTCTAACTTTTCAAGACCAGTCATATCATCCGGAAACAGTGATTGTCAGCTTGAAATATCCAAAGTGGTTAAGGGTTTGATGGAATGTGAAAAGTGTTCAATAAACCCACAACCTGAACAAAAACCAGTCCATTTCCTGTGAATCGGTTTTTGTTGCGTCCAGCACACTGGAAAGTGCAATAAGAGACACAATTTTGAACTCATCAATCAAAAAACTTTTACTTTAGTGTCTATCACCTTTATTTTCTAAGCTGTATTTTTGGAAATGTACACGATAGTCGTCTCACTTCAGAATAACCTAATACAGTTTGCCATATCTTCTAAATTATCTGAATGCTATTTAAATCATATGTTTTTTGGGGGATTTTAGTAGTTGATGTTCCTTCCAAACTTTCGATTCGTTATAGATATCGAAATTCACTGGATGGTGAGCACATGGATAGATTGATCAAAATTCGTCATAACATAGGACAGTTAAGATGTCTTTTAAATTGTTTCATTTTGCTCTGTGTAGATTTTCAAAGAATGGTAGTTAGAGTGTTATTAATTTCGTATTTTTCACTGACATGAGTCTTTCCGCTAGTGGATGAGAATTGTGTTATATTCTTACAATAAATAAATACCACTTTTTTAACATCAATTTTTTTGGCCGTTGCGAAGTCTCCACCACTGTTATTTAGGAGAATTTAAGTGTTTGACTATCGAAACTAATGTGAAGCCAAAAGACAGTTTCTTGTGTTGTATTGGGGCTCGTGCATTCGGGCCATCTATTGTAGGAGCAGTTGTATTCTATTTATTTATTATTTATTTGAACACAAATATTGGTACAAGAATGCGCCAAATATGTATGCGCCACACAAAATATTGTTTTGTGCAGTTGTATTCTCTAGTCCGATTATTGATTTATTCACCTAGATTGCCTTCATAGGACTAATTACTTGTTAGTCATTGACACAATGATCTTTCTTCGACTATTTCCTCAATGACAGTGAGATAACAACCGAAATGAATAATTAACGCTTATTGATCTAGGATACTGTTTTCTATGCTCACTTGCCCGATAGCTAAAATAGAACAAGGTAGATAAATCACTTTAGAGTTCGATTCATAGCTCAAAGTAGCATGCATTAATTTTCACTGCTGATCAGCATAAATAAGGAAGCACAATATGTGCATAACTACCCCTTAAGTGCAATGGAACTAAGTATTAGGTCCGTAATTATTTCACCATAAATTTAGTAAGGTAAACAAAGGACTATAACTGATGTGCCACATAAAAGCTTACAACCAGGATAATATTAGGTACTATCATCCAAGCGTCTAATAATCATGCAATAAAAACATAAACGATAGTCCTTTATAGGAGTCCCCAAAGTTCTACCTTCACAATATTCCCCTTATTATTAGCAGAAACATGAAATATGTTCATTACATACTTGATCGAAGTTAGAATAGTGGAATATATATCCCAAAAGAGTCTTCATCCCTGCTCGCAATCTCACCATCGATAACTAATTTCAGTATTATGACTTGATCAGAAGTTGATGCTTGCGCATATTATAATGTGCGCAACTCTGTTAACCAGCACAGTATCATAAAGTACACATTGGCAATCCCAACGGACTGTCTTATGTACATTGTAAGCCTCAAGCTAGTACTACAATATTATGTCTTTCCACTCATTGTATTTCATATCGTTCATCTAGGTAAATAATACTTATTCTCGGCTGGTCATAATATGTAGTCCAGTTGACTTTGAGTCTTTCTAAATTATCACTAATGCAGTAATCTGACATGTTTCTGGTCGTAATTGGTTTCTTCTGTGCTGTATAAGCTGTACAATTATGCAGTGTGGATAGGTCAATTTTATTTTCTGTGTGATAATTCATATTATTATGGATCGCAGTAAATATTATGATGTACTCATTTGGTATTTTTATTTTTATCCCATGGGATTGTAAGTGTATAACTTTGTTTAGAGTCACATGAACTCATAGTAATAAAACATTAGGGAAACTAACGATAATAATATGAAATTGTTTTTAGGATTAAAAACGTTAATATTAATTGCATGCGATATAAGTAGCACTGTTCATGTCATGTGAAGAATACTCTCTATTGAATGGACTTTGTAATCTAATATTAGTTAAACCTTTAGATAACTTGTCCTACTCTGACTAAAAACTGCTCTATTTCCGGAAGAACATTTACGAATGTATCAAAGCGACATATTAATATTCACTTTTGCTTAATTTTATCCATCTTCCACCTGAATAATTAGTTCAGTGGCAGAACTGGATAATTTCTCCTTTTTCTCAATGGTATTTTCTTATGTCTGAAATGAACAATGTAAGTAGACGAGGTTATGTCAACCCAACTATATTAACACAATTTTATGTACAGCTTACCAGTTGTCTTTTTAAAACATTTCCATCCATAGTAATTAGCTATTTAACTTTATCTGTTTTTCACTTATTAACCTTTTTGTACTGTGTTATTAGTAACTAAAACCTGTCTTTTCGGATATCCATCATTTTTTAAAAACATAAATTCACTGATACAAAGTTGTGCTTGCTTTTACAAATCAATACAGGATGATTATGAACATGTTTCCATGTTAAGTAAACGTTTAATCGATGGTATCACTTCCAAAATTCAACATGTTACCCTCAATGGTGATCCAATTCAACGTTATCCAGGCTGTGTAAACTTTAGTTTTGCTTGCGTAGAGGGTGAAAGCTTACTCATGGCTTTAAAGAATGTCGCTCTATCATCCGGCAGGTGATTGTAAATTTTTTGTAGTCGTTTTCAAATCATATTTGTTTTTTGTTGTATGATATATACAAAATCACTAAGAGAAATAAGCCTAACTTAGTGTTTATGTATTTACTTTTAAAGTAATTGTTTTAATTGAATAAAATATAAAGTTATTTTAACCCCTTGTAGTATAATAGTTCCAAGTATTAAGCCGCCTACCAATTTCTCTAGAATTCTGCCTAAAAAAGTTAAAGTTGTTACAATCACTAGTAGTTTAATGTTTTAGTCTCCAAGGCAAACTTGTGATTGTGGGTACTGGGTTTAAGCTTATATCACCATAGATAAATGACTCCAGAAAAATGTATGGCTAACTCAGTAATCAATACATAAGTAAACTTTCCGCTCTCGTAATGCTTTGAACGCACACCATTTTGCAGGGGTTTTGTGACGCTGTAGTTTAGGTGGTTTGAGCGTTGAATTCTGAAGATTATGGGTTATAAGTTTGAAACTAAAGTGCCATATTACCTTTTTTATTGTCAAAGTTTCCTCTCATTCAATAAACATATCTCAAAGTTTATTGACATCCAGAAGTTAAAAACGGAACTGTTTTACTAATAACTTCTACGTGTGACATTTACCTGTGTTATATTTCAGTGGAGGGATGGTGGTAAAACCTTAAAATATCGACGACTTAGAGCGACTTTAGCGATGACCTTGATATTAATCAGTCGAAAATATTTTAACAGTAGAATTCACAAGTCGATCTAAGCTAGACCACCAGTGGAAACCTGGAAGTACTGGACAGCCGTTTGCTACTAGTAAAGGACTCGTGAACAGTGCGCATCCACCGTCCCACACGCGATATTCGAACCCAGGACCTTTGGTCTCACGCGTGAACATGTAACCTCTAGACCACTGAGTTGGTATCCAACGGTGTTAATGTCTAACTTCAATCGATTCATGATCTTGCTCAATCCTTCATTGTCTACGGTGAATAACTGTCTCACCCAAAGTGAATATATATCGGCTAAGAAATTAAATCAAAAATAGCCAATCAGGATGGAGCGTTAATAGAAGAGCTTCAAATTATAGGGAAATGATGAAGGTACTATAGATTGAGTTCTAATAATTAATGAACTTATTAGGAATAGCTCGATAATTTAGTCTGCAAATCATGGTACCGTAGTCCGGAAGTACCCTAACTTCTAGCTCTAGAAATGTTAAATCGCATATGAAAAACACCCAGAGTTATAACAAATCACATGTTTCGTGTCATACCGAGCATAGTTCATGCTAATTTAATACCGAATAAAATATCACATTTGAAAAAAATAAATATGACACTGAGTAATTATCACATTGTATCAAAAAAACGGAAGTAATGTTGAACAAGAAGTCACAATCAGTAAAAGAATGTAGTTTTGTCTTTTCATCCTGTCATATCAGTACTTTTATTTATTGTTAATTTGTAATTGTGTACATGGCTCCCAAATGCTCTGGTACGGCCGAGGAGGGGTAGAGTCCGCTATTCGTCTCAAAATGCTCTCACATGGCCATGGCTATGCAGCCACAGCCAGGGGAAGTCCTCACTGCCTTCTCGCGGCGTCAGTGTTGTTTACGAAATTAAGAAGACGAAAAGCGAATGTCCGGCGCTTTAACCGGGTTGGTGGACATGGAAAGTCCATCTAAGGGAGTTGGAAAACCCTGATTCCAAACCACTGGTGCACATAGGCCCCAGTATCCTGAAGGGACAAACGGCGTATGAACTAATTGTTGGCCACCGACTACCATGGGACTGCATCTCCTTATATTGCTCCACTGCCTTGTGGATCAGACCTTTAGGTCAAAGGCTCGGGATGTGGCCCTCTAAGGAAACCACCTACTTCGGTCTGGGCACCCGGGCAGTATCACAGTCCACACACAAATGAAGTGACTTGTGTGGCGTGTATGTATTCGGTGCCCCTTTGTACCGATATTTATATGTTCAAACAAACAAATAAAATCTATAATAGTCATGGCGTTCGAATGTGATTTTCTCCTACAGGGTTTTTCTAATTTGTACTATATATAAGAAATTAAAGCTATCAGCAGCTTGTGTTTCATCCCTCGCAAAAATAATATTCACTGCCCAATCATGTGTATTTATCATTATGGCGATTGCTAATTGCCTCATCGCATCATTTGCTGCAATGTAAATGATCAGTTTTTCTTGGTATCGCACGCAGTTGAAGTGTTCCCAAATCGTTAGATTGTACTAAGTCCTCGTTCTAGATGAAACGTTGACTTTGCCCTGTTTTGAATTGAATTACAACGGTAGCGAGAAGTTCGAATTACTGAGCTTAATCAGTCAGTCACAACCTGGGATTTAGTACACATGTACATTGGTTCACGTTGCCTCACCTCATTAACAGATTTTATTTTTTATTTATTACATATAAATATTGGTACAAGAGGGCACCAAATATATATGCGTCGCACAAAACAATGAAAATTTGAAGACAAGGAAAAAAAGGGAGGAGCGTGAAAAAAAGAACAATAACGAACAGATTAGTGTAAGATAGCGTAATAATAATAATGGGGGAGACAGAAAGGTTCAATTAGAAGAGATCTTTCAGTTAAGGAAGATACAACCACTTTTTATGAAGAAAGTAAAAGAAGGTTACAGAAGAATCGCCACTGGCTTCTATTCTGAGCCATATCTGATAAGGTCTCTAGCCACTGTGTAGCACCATCTTTCGGACCCCGGCCAGGGAGTCGTGAAGGACCAACAGAAGCCAGCCCTTTGCAGCGTTCTTTCATAACACGTCGTTAATAGAAAGAGACGAAGTTGTCAGGGCTAATCCCAGAATAGGAGAGGTTCAATAATACTCAGCATCTCGAACTGATTTAGTTGTAAAGGAATCAGACTTATGACCCAGCGTTGAAAATTGAATGTTTAAAATCCAGCATATAATTCAGATCATTAGGAAGGGGATTATAATCACTTATTTATTATGAATGTTTTTATTGTAGTGAAAATCACCGATGTGTTAGGAGATCGGTTAGATATGTTAGTCGGTTTTTTTAAGAACTATTGATTTTATCTATTGGTATACTTTGATCTGTAATCTTGCATTATATTAATTTCATTTTAGTGCATGTACATCCGCTTCACTAGAGCCATCTTATGTTTTAAGAGCAATAGGGACTGAAGAGGATTTAGCACATTCTAGCATTCGATTTGGTATCGGACGATTCACCACTGAAGAGGAAGTTGATTTTACAGTCGCTGAACTAAGTAAACATGTTCAGCGGCTCCGTGAAATGAGGTTAGTTAATTAATTCTTTCAAAATTGCATTTTAGGTATATTATTTCTTGATGTAATTAATGTTTAACCATTTTAAAAGTTCGCTGAATACTGTTTCCAGCATTCACTTGGATAAACATATATATATATATATATATATATATATATATATATATATATATATATATATATATATATGCATAAATCTTTATCTTAACGGTATTTGGAAAGATAGCTTTTGTTTAAATTCTTTTCCTACATACCGTAAAAAATAGTGTTGATTAAACATATATATTCTATGGAGTTCACTTTGTTGATGCATTATGATTTACAAATTTTTTTAATGGATAATCTACTGTGTTTTACATTTTTGTGTTCCTTGTAAATAAATGTTTCAAAAAATCCACTTAATAATGCAATTATATATCCAAATCAGCTATTCATCTACTTATTCTATGTTTAGACTGTATACTATATAAATTTCAGTTGATAGTATGTATGTTTTTCAAATAGTACTTCATTCATTTGAAAAACCTTAAACTTCATATTTCAGAGTATAATAGTCGACTTTCAACCACTGCCCACAAAATGCCCTAGTACAGTCACCTCTCCCTCTCGAAATATTATCAAGTGGCTACGCGTATACAGCCACTGCCAGAGGAAGTCCTCACTGCCTTCTCGCGGCGTCAGTGTTGTTTACGAAATTAAGAGGACGAAAAGCGAATGTCCGGCGCTTTAACCGGGTTGGTGGACATGGAAAGTCCACCTAAGGGAGTTGGAAAACCCTGATTCCAAACCACTGGTGCACATAGGCCCCAGTATCCTGAAGGGACAAACGGCGTATGAACTAATTGTTGGCCACCGACTACCATGGGACTGCATCTCCTTATATTGCTCCACTGCCTTGTGGATCAGACCTTTAGGTCAAAGGCTCGGGATGTGGCCCTCTAAGGAAACCACCTACTTCGGTCTGGGCACCCGGGCAGTATCACAGTCCACACACAAATGAAGTGACTTGTGCGGCGTGTATGTATTCGATGCCCCTTGTTATCAATATAAAATTATATAAACATATATATATATATATATATATATATATATATATATATATATATATATATATATCAGAATAGCAATTTAGTTTCAAATATATTCAATGTAGTGTAAAGTAAGTTTCCAGCTTGTAAAACTGGTTTACTTTCCTTGGTTGAATGTTTCCTATCTCTGCTTAACTTTTTTGTTTAATTTTTTTGGATTTCAGTCCTTTATGGGAAATGGTATCAGAGGGAATCGACATAAAGTCGATACAATGGACACAACATTGATCATTTGTTTCAGTATACTGGAAGTTTCATTGTAGTTTTGTTCTTCATCTTTAACACTAAAACTTTCTATATTAAAATTCTAACAAACATTTAACAGTTGGATCATGAAACTTCAAGAGTTATTTTTCTGTTTCTTTGAATATTTCAAAATAAGTGATATTTTTTTCACAATTTCACATTGTAAATCAATTCTTATTTTAGTTAATTTCAAAGTAATATATATTTTAGTGTTGAAAGTATTTGAATAGTTTAATAAAAAGCCGAAAATTATCAAAACTATGTCGTATATTAGCACATTAAATTTCGAAAAATCTGATCACACATATACTTGTTAAGGACGTATATATATAAGGTCGACTAGACAAATGGAGATTAAGTTTAAGGTGAGCACAAATTGTTTTCGAATTCATAAAAGGGTTTCGAATTTTCGGATGGCCAAGGCTTTAATAAATCTTAGTATACACCCTTTAACACTTTTGTACAACACCACCAAAGCCAAGCTAAGATTAAACTTGTGACCTGTTTCAACTATGTGTTTGGCAATAGAAGATGATGAATGTTTGTCATCTACTCCTGTTGGGTCATATGATTTTGTTTGACTTTGTAGTAATTCAGACACCCTATTTTAATGATCACGATTACTCTTCCCTATTTGTGCGTGGCTGCACATACATTTGAACTAATAAACACAGTAGGATGTGACGCAATTGTTTTCATGCCTCTTCGTTTTTTGGTGCTTTGTTTTTCTTACTTTGTGCAGAAATTCGATATTCTGTCGGAATTTTAACGTAAGCAATGATCTAGACAATTACGAATTGATACAGGGTTCATCAGTGCTTCAGATGACATTATTAAACCAATTAGCTTCTGTATTTACTAGAAAAACCTACTAACAGTTGATTCTTGACATTTGTGATATTTTAGAAATAGGAAGTTATGTTGCTTAAAAATATGTTTTATTTAGGTGCTTCGTAAAGAAATTATTATACTTTAGAAATGGTTTTCGTAAAAACATGAAGTTTGTTGTAAAAAAAAAGGAGGACACAAGATGCCATTTGTTTTAAATGACACTATTGTCGGTTATTTTGTTAAGCCCACATAACTTATTCTAGCTTTTGGACAGGCCAATTTATCCTTTCTTCTTGAGTCACGTTTTGACCTTGTTCATTATACACTTGTCAGCATATGTGCGTGTACACTTTATCCTACTCGTCACATGTCTGCAGCTTGTTTTTATGACTATACATGTTGATTAACGCATGGTTAAATCGAGTTGGTTTACATGCCTTCTCCCCTGCGTGTCGTTTCACTTCACTTTCTTCGCTTCGTCCGTCCGATTGCCTGCTCGGATCAATAAGTGTACAAAGTATATGTATTCGTAATTCCACTCTAGTATTTGACTTATTTAATTCCGCTATTCACGATAATTTTATACAAGTATTGACGATATGTATATTTCAATAACAATCAATCATGCGATATTACTGGAATCAGATAACGGGTCACTAAAGAGTTTCAAGTTGGTGCAGACCTACAGCCACTTCATTTCTCTTCACAATATTAAACTACCGAGCCATTTTAGTCAATCTTTTTTTCGTTTGGTGTTGATAATATTAAACTCCGCCTGTGCCTCTTTCTAGGGCTACTGCCGGTTCCGAGCCCGGGTAAAGACGGAGGGTTGAGTGTGGGGTTGGGAACCCCATCCCGTAAAAAACAACATTACTGAAATTAAGCTAGCCAGAATAAACAATTTAAACTCTGTCTGGGGAGTATCATGACGCCACATGTTGATAGATGTGGTTCGTCGAAAGTCAAATACTGCTGCTCTTCCTAACAACAGAGCAATAATTTTTATAGGTACGTGGAATTTCTGAGCAAGGTGGGGGTCATTAGGACTAGTCAACTAGCAACGGAAATGAGGAGATATAGCTTGATGGTACTCGGAATCTGCGAAACCCATTTTATCCAAGCTGGACTGCAAAGGTTAGCACGGAAGTGATAACACTGTAGTCTTTTAACGAAGAGGTCTAAACACCCAGGGAGTGACTCTGATGCTGTCCAAAGAAGCACAAAATGCCCTTGATGGGTAGTAATCTCATGGATCCAGGATCATCAAAGCATCACTCAAAACAAAGCGGTGGCGAATTACAATTAATTATCCAATGCTATGCACCCACCAATGATATAAGTGACGACGATAAAGATCAGTTTTATGAGAGGCTGCAATCGATTGTAGTGATGTGTTCAGGAAGGGACCTGATAATGCTGATGGCAGATCCAAACGTCAAAGTCGGAATGGACAACACCGAGTATGAGCATATCATGGGACGACATGTACTAGAATAAAAGAACAAGAATGGCTAGTGATTTATATATCTATGTGTATTCAACAAATTGGTTATTGGCGGCATAATTTTCCCACATGAACGCATACACAAAGCTACATGGTCCTCACCGGACCACACCACGGAGAACCAGATAGATCATATTTGCATCCCTTAGAAATTCAGGTCAATGGAAGATGTAAGAAACAGTAGAGGAGCTAATGTAGCTTCCAAGATGAAACTGAAGCTAAAGAAGTGTTGAAAAACTGGAGAAACAGCATTACAGAGGTTCAATACATACTTCCCTTGAGACACTGACAAAATCAATTCAACACAACTCTCAGAAGAGAAGAGACTACTACGAGGACAACTGGGAAGGGATCAAAGAAGCATAAGTTCAACGTGTTGTGCCGCAAGAAGCATCATGAGGTATGGATCTCTATCAAAACCTTAGACAATATTCAAGAAATGGAATGACAGCAGTCAACAACAGAGAAAGTCAAGGCACATGCTGAATACACAGAAGCTAAAAAACAAGTAAAGAAGGGCATTAGAGCCGACAAGCAGAAATACGTGAAAGAGCTAGCAACGACATACGGAACAACTGCAAGAGAAGAAAATATAAAAAGACCATTTGACGAGACAAAGAAACTGGCAAGTAAATATGGTAAATCAGAGAAACCGGCTAAGGACAAAGAAGGCAAGACAATCACCGAGATTCAAGAACAGAGGAACAGATTGTTGGAACACCTCGAGGAACTCTTGAATAAACCAGCTCCACTAAACCCACCCAATATCAAAACAGCACCCTTCCTATAGATGTCACTCCACCATCAATCGAAGAAATCAGGATGGCCATCAAACGAAGCAACAGTGGTAAATCAGCAGAACCTAGTAGTATACCGGGTGAAGTATTGAGGTCACACGTAGAAATAACTGCAAACATGTCCCACGTTCAATTCAGGAAGATTTGGGCTGGACGACATATGCCACCGACAGACTGGGAAGAAGGATATCTCATCAAGATATGAAAGATAAGAGATCTGAACAAGTGTGAGGACTGCGGAGGAATCACACTACTTTCGGCACCAGGAGAAGTTTTCTACAGTGTTGCTGGACCAAATAAAAGATTTCTTAGCTACTAAACTTCAAGATCAACAGACCGTATTGCGTTAGGGTCGGATTATGAAAAACTCCGAAATCTTAGGGGAAGCACGGAACACAGTGAACGTCTTGGATGCAACTAGACGATTTGAACATCAAAGGTGATCTGGCCCTTCTATTTCATACACATCAACAAGTGCAGGTCAAGACAACTAGTGTAGCAGAAGCCTCTGCAGCAGTAGGACTCAACACACACACGAGACAAAGCAAGATCCCTAAATACAACATGAACGCCAACATTGTCATATTTGATGGAGAAACTCTGGAAGGGTTGAAAAATGTTATGTACCCGGACGGCATCAACGATAAACAAGGAGGATTTAATGTAGACGGCAAGGCAAGAACAGTATTCTCACGGTTGGAGAACATATAGAACTCAAAACAGCTGTCAGCCAACATCAGTCACAGTCTTCAATACGAACGTCAATACAGTTATACTGTACAGAGCTGAAACTTCGAGAACTACTACAACAAGCATCAAAAACTTAATAGTAAACAATTGTCTACGCAAGTTGCTCAATATCCGTTGGTCAGATACCATCAGCAACGGCCTACTGTAAGAGAGAACAAACCAACTTCCAACTGAGGAGGAATTTCGGAAGAGACGCTGGAAGTGGATAGAATATACATTACGAAAATCACCAAACTACATCACGAGACAAAACTCAACTTCTAATCCCGAAAAGAAACGGAGAAGAGAATGGCCAAAGGACACATTACGTCGGGAACGAATATGAAAAGAATGAATAGCAACTGCGAAGAATTTCCAGGGACAAGGTTGGGTGAAGAATGCTGGTTGGTGGCCCAAGCTCTTCCATGAGGGATTGTAGTCTGATTGGGATTACCAATTGTAGCGTGGTGTCGAGTTGAGGTTAACTGTGAACACCGCTACCAAGAAACACGTGCCAAGCGAATCAGAAGGCGAGGGTTGGACGTAACCAAATAGATCCATAAAATCCCCGAGAAGCCAAATACCAGAAGGCAATTAATGGACCAAGTCGATGTTTATTTGCTGGCGATCTCGTGGCATCGAAAGGATACCGAGATCGTGCCAGGATACAACCTTGGTTACAGAAGGTAACCGAATTCGCGCGAAGTTACAAAGTGTAAGTAAAAGAATGGAAGCACAAAATAGCTGTCATTAGCACAGTCAAACAAAAGCACGTTAAAACAAACACTGGTACAGTTGGTTATAATAATAATTGTTTTTATTAAAGCAGTCGTGTTCTCGTGATAAACGTGAGTCACTACAGGATAATAGACGTAAGTAAGGGCGTTTATCTATAACCGAAACTATCACAAGAGAATGTTCATCACAGAATAATAATTGTAATCATCATTGGTCTCAAGCTAACGTTTTTAAATCTTTCTCACTGTTCAACATCAAACCATTAGTGTTCAACGCACTCTAAAAACGGCTATATGTTATGCAACAGTCGAAACAATCGAAATTAGGGTTTACAATTAATTTCAGTGTATTTGATCAATATAAAAGTATGATAAATAGCATAAACATTCATCCTGTTAATATGAAATGAAGTGTTAGTGTTTTTTTACTTTTTCGGATTGTTGTAAACAGGATAGGAGTACTAGTCATCGACTTGATTTTTAGTTAGCTACCAGTATATGGTTGTCATGACAAAGCCTATATATGACCGTGATGTACGATAAGATAAAAACGTATCAGAGGAAAACATTTACATAAGACCTCAAGTAAACATTTGTTGTTTCAGGGCATGTGGTCAAATTCCAATACAATCTGGAAAATAATATTATCCATGCATCTACC